TTGGGTTTTCGGAAGCTATCGCCGGATAAGCATTACGACGATCTGGGAAAACTAATTCTTTCTGGGTTCTTCCTAGGAAGCGGGTGATTCCGATTTTGGGGAATGGTAAACCATTGTCCCATATCTTGTAGACAGTGTGGCCAGTTTCTGTTGAAGTGACTGTGCGAAAAAAGACTTATTGTAACCTTAACGATTTCCAATCAATACTCATCTTTTCCGTTGCAGTTCGTGAAGAAGACTGTATAAAACACTATCGAATTCGTCAACTGGATCAGGGTGGATATTTTATCGCAAGGCGTCGACCGTTTAGCACATTGGAAGAGCTCATCGCTCATTATAGTGTCGATCCAGATGGCCTTTGTGTGAAATTGACAAAACCATGCGTGAAATACGAAGTACCACAGACATCTACTTTCACCTACGGTTAGTTCATTTTCATTTTTCCCTTTATTTGTTCATCTTTCTGGTTACCTGAACTAATGGGCGATCTTTTCATCCATAAAGGACATGTGGCCTTCTTCTGCAAATAGAAAGCCTCGACATAGAGTGAATCATACAGTTTACACTTAAAGAATTAAAAAGTTCTGAGGGTTGAATAGAAGAGGTTCTGTGGGCACAAAAGGACGAAGAAATACTCCCAGCAACGAACATTCGATGAAAATGCTTGGGTGCAGGTCAAAGAACAATCTTATAAATCAGCCGCAGCGCAAACTTCCGCTAATTTTCCATGTAATTGGGCTGGATCAGGACATCCGGGAGCCCTTGCAGTTGCGTAGTTTCCCGAATGCATGGGAAACTGGGTAATGATGAAACAGATGCATTCCGAAAAGGTCTAAAACAGTCCATTCGCATTAATTCACTGTTTTGCAATGACCGATTTTCGATTTTTTTTTTATTTGAAAAAAAGTTACGTAGGAACAATTTTTTATCTTGACGATCCCACTTGTAATCCTCATCCTTGGGGACCAATCCTCGGTTTTTCTTATGTAGTTCATAGTGCTCTTTTTTGGTTGAGATGGCTCTTCGCTTTCCACCTTGAGTAACTTACAGACTTAAGGAAATCAATCGGTATCCTGAAATCAGGTCAAGGCTGAGGGTGCCGAGGAATTCGCAATTTCTCTCTGCAATTCATCAAAAAACGGCTCTATCAGTTCTTATCAACGTCAGTTTCACTAACGGCTGAAGGTTGCGTTTAGAGTGATCACCCTGGCTGAGGACT